AGAGAGAGAGAGAGAGAAGAAAAATTGCATACATTTATTTCCTCCCTGTTGAGATATGGCTGATAGGGACTGATGTCTTTTTGGTGAGCTGCTGAAAAAAAAGAGGAGAATCCTTGTGACTCATTCCGCATGTAAAGTAGGTTATCATTGCCCTAAAATTACAAGTTCCATACGTAGAGACACAGAAATATAGTTTAAAGGGAGAGTGGGGTAGGGATGAGGATGAGAATAGACTAGTTTTCTGTAGGGTAATAGAGACCTTAGAGCAAAGGAAATTAATCCTTCCTGCCTGGGGCCTTACCACATCATCTGCTCTGGTGGTAGTCCACATTTAACAGATGAGTAAAGATATTTTTAAAACCTGGAAACATCACCTCTTCTTTCCATCCCATTGTTTGACAAAATTAATACTACATAAGACTACTTGGAAGACCACTTGGAAGCCAACTAATGATCCCTGACTCTATTTTGAGGCTATTTCCTTACAGGACAGAGGAGTAGCACTTACAAATGGGCAACCAGAATGATGAAGGGCCTTGAGTTCATGCCATATAAGATCAGGAGAAAAGACAAAGGATGTTTTATGTGGAAAATAGAAGACTCAATGGTGATATGATAGTTATTTTCAAGTATCTTAAAGTTTAGCATATGGAAGAAGGATTGGCCTTTTTCTGCTTGGCTCCAGAGGGCAGACCTAGGAGTAAGATATGAAGAGGTGATTTAGGCTTATCTGTGGAAAAACTTGTTTAACAATTTGAACTATTCAAAGTGGATTAACCGTCACAGGAGGTCTGCAGGCAAAGGCTGGTTGACAATGTTAGAGATGCTATAGTGAGGGCTCTTTTTGGAGGGAATATTGGTTGAACTACATGTCTGTGGAGGCCCCTTCCAAATTCAGGATTCTGTGCCCTGCGCAGTGCTGTCTGATGTTGATTCTCCTCATTGTCCTAGGTGTCTCTGACTTGCCTTTTTTCTGGCTAATAGCTACCTACTCTTTAGACCCTAGGTGGACCATATAGGAATGCCAATTTCTCCCCACCAAACTTAGGATAGGGCAACGTCACTGATGGGAAATGATAAATGCCTCAGAATTCTCCTACAGCTTTTCTGGGCTGTCTGGGTTCTGGGGGCCATCAGTACATATGACTGATGCATCATGCAAACAGAGGGTGGAATTCATAGAACTAGATCACTTTGATTAGGAATCAAGTGAATTTTGTCTAAAGGCAGGTCTGAATTCCTTCCCAGAATTTATACTTGGAAGAATCTTTGAAATCATCTAGTTGAACCTCTCCTTTTACAAATTAGGAAATTTAGGGGCTAGAAGTAGAAGGGACAGGTAGCATAATATGGTGGGGGGGAGAACCCCAACACTGGATGACCTAGGTTCAAATCTTCCTTCTACATGATCAGAAACAAATCACTAAAATGCCCTGGGCAACAGTTTCCTCATCTGTAGGGTGAGGAGATTGGAATACATGATCTTTAAGGTCCCTCATAACACTACTTCTATGATCCTATAATAAATTAAGAAATGGAAGTAAGATCCAAACAGGTCTTCTGATGCTCTTTCCAATTCTACTTATTTTTCTCTCGGTTTTCCCACTGCTGTCCTATAAATTTAGCTTTTCAAGAAGTAGAGGCTGTTTAAAGGGTTACTCGTTATGATCCAAGGGCTGAAAGAAATCTGATTCCAATTCTTACTTGCCTCTAAGTCAAATATTCTTAACTTGGGATCCTGAGGGTAGATTTTTCGGGGTCAGTGAACTTGGTTGTGAAAAAAAATTCATCTTTATTTTCACTAATCTTCTATTTCCTTTGTAATACAATATATTTTATTTTTTAAAAAAACCACATAATTTTGAGAAGGGATTCTTAGGCTTCACCAGACTGCCAAATGGGATCATGACATAAAAAAGGTTAAGAACTTTTGGAAGAAGGGTCTGTTCCTCCTCTGTTCCCTCTCAGATGGAGGCCCCACTCATGTAAGGGCTGAGAGTATCTGTCTTGCACGAAGAACGATGTTTTGTGCTTTGGGGATGTCTCCACCTGTAGGTTTCTATCTCTGTCCAGTAGGGAATTAGAAAGATCCCTTCAGGATAATTTCTAATATCTGGATGCTTCACAGGCTAAAATAGTCCTCTTCCACTGATTAAAAACCTCCATCCTCCTTATAATGTTATACATCCTTATATAATGTAATACAGAGAGCACGGTTCTTGGAACTAGGAGATCCAAATCACTCTTCTAACATGTACTGTGTGTGGCCTTGGGCAAGTCACTTAATTTTGCTGACATCACCCTGTTGTGCCTACCTCACAGAGTTGTCATGAGGCTCAAATGATGGCCTAGGTGCAATGGTGCTTTGCAAACTTTCAAGTGTACATAGAAGCCTTTTGTCAATGTGTATGCTGTAGCAAGCAGACATAACCTCTGCTTAACTACCTAAGCTGGCTCAATGGGGACAATAATAGGTCGGGGGAAGTGTGCCTTTGGCCTTTCCCTCTCCCCAGGCCTATCCCTGGAAAAGCTACCAGGGACATTAAGCACAGAGATCCCACCGAGAACTTCCCTCCCCTCCCCCCAGCTTCCTCTTGCCCTTCCTCACCCCAGGGGACTGTTGGCAGGAAGGATAGGAAGGAAGGATTAATTTCCTTCACCCCATGACCACCACCACCCTAAGGAAATCAGTTTGTCCTCCTCCCTTCTTCCCACCCCCTAGCAATTCTCTTCCTACTAGTAATCCTATCTGCACTGTCTGATTAGGCATTTTTTTTGGTCAGCAACAATTTCTTATCCTCTTCCCTCCCCCCGTCTTTCCCATCAATTGTAAACTCTTTCTCTGAAGAATGGAAATTATGGGAATGATGGGCAGAGTGATTGCCTTAGTCTCAAAAGGGTGTATAGCTATATGTACCTGGCAGCTTTTTCAGAGATAGACTTTGGGAGAAGGAAAGGCCTTCTCCCACTTTTCCAAACCCATTACTGCCAAAGATAGGGACTGGTCCTGTGATTTTCTTAGTATAGCTAACTTCCAATAAGGAAATGCCCTAAACAGATGCAGATTGGCACCCTATAGCACTGAGGGGCTCAGTAACTTTGCCTAGGGGGTCCCACAGCCTGTATGTGTCAGAGGTAGTACTTTAAACCAGATCATCTTAGCTCTACAGCTGATACTCTAATCATTGAGTCTTTTCCACAATAGTAATTATACAAATGCATTTCTATAGCTTTACAAAGCATATGTCTCATAGCAATCTTATGAGGTTATTTCATTTTACAGGTAAAGAAACTAATAATCTCCCAGGTCATTTTGCAAATTCAGAGGCCAGCACTTGAACCCAGAATTAGGATTTGAACTCAGAATACTTAACTTTAAGCCCGATGAGAATCCACACTATCCACATTTTACAAAGCACCTTCTTCATAAACCTGTAAGGTATGTAGTACAAGTATTATTTATGTCCATTCTACAGATGAAGAAAACTGAGAATCAGGATAAGTGAAGTGGGTGCCAATGTCAAAACTGGAAATTGAACTTATTTATTGAGGCCTAGCATTCTTTCTATCATATTTGGATCGTTTCTCTACCAGGTTCTGATATTAGATAGGGTAGTCATAGAGAAAAGGGCCCAGAAGACTGAGAGCCCCAGACGAGCTTCTTATTGTCATCCAGGATTTTTCTGTTCAACCTCAAAGGGCTGATTAAAGAGGTAATTGAGAAGATAAGGGAATGAAGACATTTCCTAACATGGTGCTAGGCCTCCCAGAACTGAAGGCTAATTCTACCTATGGGCACGCCCCTGAACCAACCCTGATTCAGACTATGCATCTAGGAAAGGGGATTGATCCAAAGAGTCTTTTAAGTTAAACATAACTCCTCCTGGGTCACAGATACAAGTGTGTGTTCTCTCATAGAACTGGTGACACCTGGGGAGGTGGAAGATGTGACTGTAGGACTGTAGAAAGAAGGGGAGAGAAGGCCCAGTCTGACTCTGCTGGATTTTCTAACCTTTATGACTACATTATGACTCCCTGGTCCTCTTACTGGATGAGACCAAACTTTTTCTCAGCCAATCTAGATGTGACCATTAAGGTAAAAAGCAGTGGTAGTCGGAAAAGTCCAGTATTTGAGTCTGAATTCTGACTGTGCCACTTACTTAGTCAATTCACTCTTGGCTCTCCGGACCTTAATTTACTTATCTGCGTAATCTTGTGGGGGGTGGGTAGGATTGTTACTGAAAGCAGACCCGGCAGAGATGTGTTTTTCTGAGTGCAGGCAGAATGAATGGGAAATGTTTCCAGGTTGTGTGTGTGTGTGTGTGTGTGTGTGTGTGTGTATACACAAGATATATATGTACACATACACATCCACAATAAATTATATTTCTTTTCTTTAACAAAAACCCCTTATTTTAAATAGTCATTTTTAAAAATTTTGAACTCCAAATTCCATTCCTCTGTCCGGCCTCTCCCCCACCCATTGAAAAGGAAAATAATATACCAATTATATATGTGAAGTTCTACAAAACATATTTCCATGTTAGCCATGGATAACTATATTTCAACATAATTGTTTTCCTTTGCAATCCTTTGTATTTTATTTAATTCATTTAAAAACATTATTCTGAGAAGCAGTCTATTGGCTTCACTAGAGTATCAAAGGGGTCCATGACGTGCACAAAAAAGGTTAAGAACCTCTAGGCTAGATGGTCTCCGAGTTCCCTCATAACTGACATTTTGTGTTTCTAGTCTCAGAACATGAGAAGCCTCTGCTGAGGATTCTTGAGGCAAGAGCGCCACCTGGTGTTCTATTTAAGCTGCTGAAAGTAACATGAAAGATGTGTAAAAGGGAAGGGATCCCAGCCAGAGGATGCATTCATTTATTCATTCAGTAGTCAATAAGCATTAATTAAGTGCCAACTATTTGTCAGGCACTTTTCTAAGTACAGCAAATAATTAAATATTTACAATATATCCAATGTATGATGCTGGTTGAGATACAAAGATAAATAAGGTATAACCTTTGCGTTCAAGGAATTTGATTGAAAAATAATCCATTTCATATAATCACAGGTTTTTTGGACAGAAAAAAACCTAAGACAACATCATATCTGGCTCCTTCTTTTTTCAGTAAAGTAAACAGGCCCAGAAAAGGAAAGTGATTTTCTTAAGAAAGGAGTAAATGGCAGACAAGATTTGAACCTGGGCCTCTTAGATGCCTTTTAGTCCTTGATCCTTCCACTATAATACTATGCTGTCTTTGGGTTTCCAATTATGGAAAACAAACCAGTTCACAAGATTCAAATCTGTATTCTCCTTTTATTTTCTCATATATTACAGAATATAAAAAGGTAACATATATTACAATTTTTAAAAAATATCACATTACAACTATGAAGAAATGGTATCTGTTGGACAAGATATTCCAAAGTACTTGAGGTCAAGGTCAAACCAGATTGTGGACTACTGATATGAAAGCCCAGAGAATCTCAGTTCTGCCTGGGTTCTTTCCAGGGCAATACAGACAGCACCAGATGGGCAGTCAGCTATCAGGGCCTTGGAAGTGGTAAGTCCTCTTTCAGTGGTGACTTCATAATAGTGAGGCCTTGGTTTAGGCTTGGTAACTACCATTTAGGTCAGCATCTTCTTTCACTTACCTCCTGTTGGGCAAAGTTATTCATCTGAGAAACAATTTCCCTGTAAATATTTTGATCCTTGTCCCTCTATCCTGTGGGTCAAGAGGACAGGAATTATGTAGGTTTTAGGAGGCTATCAGGGGAAGTGCTAGGGATTCAGCTGAGGAACCTCTTCAGCTCTGCTAAAAGGGTAGAACTGAGGGGGAGGGCACTGCCATGTCCTAGGGCTGTAGTTCATACTGTTGCTCCGTGGCTGTGTAGAAGTCCTCAAGTACAGACTGTAAGTATTCAAAGGTGGGCCGCTCCTCCGGCCTGCTTCGCCAACACTTACTGATGATGCTGTAGAGCTCACCTGGGCACATTTCAGGGCAAGGCATTCGATAACCTCGTTCCAGATTCCGAATGACCTCTGGGTTGGTCATGCCTTACAGGATAGGATTGAAGATGGCAGGAGAGATGTTGTGGAAAGAGAGAAAAGACTGAATGAGTTTTTTAAACCCTGGGGCCCCAGAGAGCATTTCTAGGACCTAGAGAATTAAAGTGACTTGCTCAAGGTCACACAACTACTAAGTCAGAATCATAGCAGACTTAGATCTGGAACTAGAACCTAGATCTTTGATGTCTAATCCAGTGTTCTTTCTACTATTTTCCCTTACCTTCCTATCATGCAATTCAGCACTCAATTACATAGTGTTTTATATTGCTCATTAATGTATGTGTCTTATATTCCTAACTAAATTGTCTGCCTTTGGAAGGCAAGAATCATCTTATTTTTTTCACATCTAACCTGTTGAATTTAGGATAGTGTCAAAGAAAACTACCAAATCATTGAAAAGAAGGTGATAGAAATGTCTTCATTAGGATGGGGTATCTAAACGATCGGATGGTCCCCTCTGCTTAAAATCAACAAACAAAAAATTATAGTGATCCTGGATCTAGAGCAGGAAGGGACCTCAGAATCCAAGCCCTTCATTTTCCAAATGAAAAAACTGAGTCTAGAGATATCAAATGATTTGTCCAAGGTCACTAGGCATTAAACAAAGGTCTGCATTTATGTGTTGGAACTTGGGGTATCAAGAGCAAACAAACAACAACTAAATCTTCTGCTTTGTCTTTATTCCTTTCATCAGATCTGAATCAACTTTTCATTGTTGGAATCTACTCATCCCATCAAGGTTCAGACAGAAGTCTGGGTTTCAGACATAATGGGCTTTCACAGTAATGAAATATTTCCATCTAGTGGCTAAGAGACAAACTGCAGGTTTTGCTAACCCATTTAAACGAAAGGAATTGTAAGAGTGGTTTTCAAAGTGTGGTTTGGGAACCATGGGGAAGGGGAGGTGTCCCTAAGACCTCTCCAGGGGATCCACAAAGTGAAAACTATTTTCATAATAATACCTCTATGTTTTAATTTCTAATATGGTAAATATAGATAGATAGTCTCATAAATAAAACCTCTTTGGAGTTTTCAATAATTTTTTTTCTTAATATGAGGCAATTGGGGTTAAGTGACTTGCCCAGAGTCACACAGATAATGAGTGTTATGTGTCTGAGGCAGATCTGAACTCAAGTCCTCCTGACTCCAGGGCTGGTGATCTATCCACTGTGCAACCTAGCTGCCCCAATAAATTTAAAAGTGTTAATTGGTCCTGAGATCAAAAAGTTTCAGAATTTCTGCTTAGAACAAGAGCACAGAGAAATTATGTCCATCTATAAGGACTGTGACCAAAAGTAGGGATGGCTTATTATAGGAAACGAGTTTTAAAATCAGTCAGTCAATAAGCATTTATTAAGTGTGTACTATGTGCCAGGCACTGTGTTAATTTCTGGGGATACAAAGAAAAGTGAAAAATAGTCCCTGACCTCAAGGAACTCACAATCTAATAGAGGAGATGACAAACAAATAAATGTGTACAAACTATATACAGGAGAAATAGTAAATAGTTAACAGAGGGAAGGCACTAGAATAAAGAAGGATTGGGGAAAGCTTTCTGTAGAAGGTGGGATTTCAATTAGAACTTAAAGGAAGCCAAGGAAGTTACGATTTGGAGATGAAGGGAGAGAACATTTCTGTCATGAGGGACAGCCAAAGAACATGTCTGGAACTGAGAGATGGAGCCTTGTCCGTGGAACAGCAAGGAAACTAATGTCACAGGATTGAAGAGTACATGGCAGGGAATAAGGTGCAGGAAGAATAGAAGCTAAGTTGTGAAGGATTTTGAACAACAAACAGACAATTTTGTAGTTGATCCTGGATGTGATAGGGAGTCAGTAGGGTTTCTTGAGTGTGGGGGTGACATAGTTGGGTCTACACTTCAGGAAAATCACTTGGCTGAATGGAGGATAGAATGGAGTGGGGAGTGAATTGTGGCAGGGACAACGAACATTGAAAAAGCCATTGAAAAGGAGACTTCTATCAGCAAGCTAATTCAATAGTCCAGGCATGAGGTGATAAAGGGCTTGCACCAGAGAGATGGCAGTATCAGAGGTGAAAGGGGGCATGTTTGAGAAATGTTGGAAAAGTGAAATTGAGTGACCTTGGCAAGGGGGTGGGAGGATTGACAGATTGTAAGGTGTTGAGGATGACACCCAGTTTGGGAGCCTAGGAGAATGGGAGGATGGTGGTCCCCTCAAAAGTATTAGGAAATTAGGAAAGAGTGGAGTTTTTTTGGGGGGGGGATAATTAGTTCAGGATGTCTACTGGATATTCAATTTGAGATAACAGAAAGGCAGTTCAGTTGGAGATGATGGCAAAAGGAGATGTCTGCAGAGATTTGGGCGGGATAGGTAGGTTTGAGAATCATCAGCATAGAGATGCTAATTAAATCTATGGAAGCTGATGAGATGACTAAGTGAAGTAGTATAGAGGGAGAAGAGAAGAGGGTCCAGAATAGCCCTATGGTATACCCATAGTTAATGAATATGAACTGGATGGGGATCCAGCAAAGGGGAATGAGGAGTAGTCAGATATTTAGGAGAACCAGGAGAGAGCAGTGTCCCAAAAGCCCCCAAAGAGAGAGGGGGCTGATCAACAGGATCATAGACCGCAGAGTGGTCAAAAGAATGAGGATTGAGAAAAGGCCATTTTTTTTTGTTGGTTAGGAGATCATTAGAGAGGGTAGTTTCAGTGGAATGAGGAGGTTAGAAGCCAGATCATAGGGGGTTAAGAAGAGAGTTGGAAGAAAAGAAGTGGAGGTATTTATTGTAGATGGCCTTCTCAAGGTGTTTAGCCACAAAGGGCAAAAGAGAAGTAGAATAATAGTGGGGATGGAAGGATTAAGTGAGACTTTTTTGAGGATGGAGGAGTAGAAGAAAGGAGCTAATAGACAGGGAGGCATTGAAGATAAATGATAGAGTGGGGATGACAGAGAAAGCAGTCTCTTAGAGGAGTTGGGATAGAATGGGATTGCTTGTTCAAGTAGAGAGATTTGCCTTGGCAAGGAGTAGAGCCACCTGTGTTTGAGACGAAGTGAAGGAGCAGATAGTGCAGAAGGCACCTGAGTGATATAAGATGAGAAAGAGGGGAGAAAAGGGAGCTTTTGGTAAATGGCCTCATTTTTTTCTGTAAAAATAGGCAAGGTTTTCAGAGTATGGTGGGAGGAAGATCCATGAGAGGTTCAAGAAGAGATGAAAAGGTTTGGAAAGACTGCTGTGAAGAGCAGGGATAAAAAAAGGTATACAAGGATTACCTAGGGGTAGTGAGGGTCCATTTGAGGTTGCGTGACATAAATTTGTAGTTGACTCAGTCAGAAGGGCTGCATGATCTTCTCCATCATTGTTCAGTACCATGTGTGTGGGAGTGAAGACTGTGGATGGTGGGAGTGAACCAAAGCTGAGGGTTAGTAGGGAGAAATCAGTGATAGGGGCCAGAGACTCAAGAGAAGTGGATAGTGTAGAGTTGAACTGGTTTACCAGGGGTTGACTATGGAGAATGGGGAGAAAGTGACTAGCACAAGGGAAGAGAACTGAAGGGTTGAGGGATTATATAACACCTCATGGATAAAGAGTAGGGATTGGTATAGGAAGACAGAGGGAGAGCTGGAAAGCCAATAAATTATGATCACAGTTCATGAATATGGAGATGGTGCATTTGTGGATAATGGCAAGATCAAGAATATGAATATATTTATGTGTGGCTGAGGTGGAATGGAGAGTAGGTCATGGGAAGTGAGTAGGATAAGGAGCTAAATGGTTAGGGTATTTAATAGAGTATCAATATATTTGTTGAAGTTCTCTAGAAGGAAGTCAGGGTTAGGGAAGACAGAAAGATTGTAAATCAAGTTATAAACACATTGAGGAAGGACGTGTCCTAGAGGTCTGTAGGCGACAGCTACCAGAAGACATGGACCTTAGAGGAGGAGAGGTTACTGAGGTAGAGGCAGAACCTGAAATTGGCAATGGGTATTCCAACGCCCCCACTCCAACCAGTAAACCAAAGGGAATGAGTGAAAGTTTATCCAGTACAGGAAATTGTGGCCAGGAAGGCTGTGTCATCAAAGGGAGCCATGTCTCAGTAATTGCCAGAATATGGAAGGAGTGGGAGAGGAAAAGATTTAAGATAGAGGTAAATTTATTGTCTATGTAATAGGCATTCCAGAGAGCACAATGGAAGAGGTACTTTGGGGAAGGAGGATTGATGGGAATAGGAATAAGGAATTAGGTCATAGGGGATGGGGAATGGAGTTTGGATGATAACTTACAAGATTCTGGAATCGCTGAGGTGTATAGGGTAAAAGGTTGTAAATGTAAAGGGTTTTCTACCTTGCCAAGGATGAGTTAATCCTCATCCTGCCTTGCATCTTCATCAAATGACAAGGTAAATCCAGTTGATCTTGATTGTAACTAACCTCGTCCCTGATCTGACCATACTGTCAGGGATTTTTCAACTGAAATACAGTTGGTGTGAAGGAGCCATGAATGTTTCCTTACAAATACTTGTCTAGTTATATTAAAAATGAAAGAGATGGTTAGCTATATGAAGCTTCTTAAGAGCAAAACTCTAGCAAGGAGAGAGGGGAACTTGTGCTACTCTGTGCTACTAGGCTGAACTGTATGTAGGATTGGCTATAGTACCTGGGTAAGGAATCCGTCCATAGGTAACAATTTCCATCAGGAGAACTCCGAAGGACCAAACATCAGATTTGATGGAGAACACTCCAAAACTAATGGCTTCTGGGGCTGTCCACTTGATGGGGAACTTGGCACCTGTGGGAAATTAAAGAGAAAAAAACCACACAAGTCCCATGAAGCAAAATATCGAACAGGCTCAACCTGGGTATTTCTTTCCAGAGTGGTAGCCTACATTCTTGATACTGTTCAGCCAACAAGGGCACTTAACATACGCTTACAGAATTGGAGTTTTTGAGCTAGAATGGACCATGTCGATTATTCAACCTTCTTATTTTAAAGGTGAAGAAATTGAGGCCCAGGGAGGTTAAGTGATCTTGTCCAAGGTCACACATGTAGTAAGCATTAGAGGCAAGGACTGAACACAGTTCTGACTCCAGAGATAGTTTATTACATTGAACCAACCTTCTTTGCCTCAGTTGTCTATAGATGGCTGCCAATTGGCCAACAAGCCAATTAAGTGCCTATTACATGCCGGGCACTGTGCTAAGCACTAGAGATACAAAGAAAGACAAAAAAACCACAACCACAACAAAACAGTCCCTGCTTTCAAGCAACATGCAAACTTTTGTTGTTGTTGAGTCATTTCAATTGGGTCCAGCTCTTTACGACCCCACTCGGGATTTTTTTTGCAAAGATACTGCAGTGGTCTGCCACATCCTTCTCCAGCTCATTTTATAGATGAGTTAACTAAGGCAAACAGGGCTAGGTGACTTGCCCAGGGTCATACAGCTAGAAAGTGTCTGAGGTCGGATTTGAACTCAGTTCTTCCTAACTCTAGGCCCAGTGTTCTATCCACTTTGCCACCTAGCTGCACCAACATGTAAACTACTATGTACAAGATTGATCTGTTTGCCTGTCTATCTATCTATCTGTTAAATTAGAAACAATCAACAGAGGAAAGGCATTAGCACTTAAGTGGGTTAGGGAAAGGCTTCTTGTAGAAAGTAGGAATTTTGCTGAGGCTTAATGGAAGCCAGGGGGGAATTCCAGGCACGGTAAGACAGCCAATGAAAATGCCTGGAATAAGGAGGCCAGTGTCACTGGATCTCAGAATATGTGGATGGGAGTAAGGTGTAAGAGGACTAAAAAGGTCAGAGGAGTCTAGATTATACAGTGCTTTGAATTCCATACAGAGGATTTTGTATTTGATCCTGAAGGTAATAAGGAGAGAGGGATGACATGGTCAGACCTGAACTTTAAGATGATTGATGATAGCTTGAGTGGAGGAAGGCTTGGAGTAGGGAGAGGCTTAAGGGAGGGAGACCAACTGGAAGGCTATTAAAGTAGTCCAGGAATACCAAAGTATAAAGGACAAACCTGGCAACTGATTGGATATGGGGGATGGGGGCATGTGTGTGAGGAGTCAAGGTTGATACCTAGGTTACGAGCCTGAGTAACTGGAAGAACGTGGTGCCCTTAACAGTATTAGTTAAGTTGGGGAGGGAGTGGGGGTGGGAAGAGCTTAATGAGTTCAATTTAGGACATATTGAGTTTGAGGTATCTATGCAATTCTAATAGGCACTTGGAGATGTGAGACTGGTGGTTAGGGAAAAGACTAGGGTTAGATCAGCAGATCTGAGAATCATCAGCATAGAGATGATCATTGAATTCATAATACAGAAGGGGAAGAGAATTGGTCCAAGGACCAATTTAAGAGACATCCATGGTTAGTGGGAATGACCTGGATGAAGATCCAGCAAAGGAACCTGAGAAGGAGTTGTCAAATAAGTAGGAGGAGAACCATGAGGGAGGAGTGTCATGAAAACCTAGAGAGAAGAGGATATCAAAGAGAAGAGGGTGATCAACAGCGCCAAAAGCTGCAAGGAAGCAAAGAAGAGTGAGGACTGGGAAAAGACCATTAGTTTTGGTGATTAAGAGATCATCAGTAACTTTGGAGAGAGCACTTTCAGTTGAGTGATGAGGTGGGAAGCCAGAATACAGACTTAAGAGTGAGCAGAAAGGAAGGGAGAGAAGATGGCTAATAAGTGACTATGATGCTACAGCAAGGTGGATAGGATTCTGGACCTGGAGTCAGGAAGACCTCACACACTACATAGATGTGTGACCCTGGACAAGTCACTTAACCATTGTCTGCCTCGGTTTCCATTTCTGTCGATTGGGGATGATAATAGCACCTACTTCCTGGGGTTGCCCAAATGAGATAATATTTGTAAAGCATTTAATACAGTTCCTGGCACATAGTAGGCACTTAATAAATGCTTATTCCCTATCTTCCTTAAAGCATTCAGTTTCCAGTCTCCCAAAGGAACCCTACTACTGAAGCAGCATTAGAAGTTGGAGTTCTGCAATAAAGTATGGTTCCCAATTGGCGCTGATCACACATCTGGTATTAGGAAGCAGTTAGTGCTAACAAGAACAAATCTTGCTATAACTACAAAAGCTTTACATGATGACTTTGGATATATTGATAACGAATGGACCAGAAATGACCCCATAGGCTTTACACTCTATCCATTGATGTTTAGTCAAGGACTACTTGTACCTATTGATGTGGTTTGGAGTCTCTGGAGATGAAGAGATTGTGGACGTTCACAACCAGTACATTCTCTCAGCTGAGAGAGAAACTGAAAGAAGTTTACTATCTAGCTACAACTCCAGCTTAGGAAAATACTGATGGAAATAAATAATGATAAAATGCCCAAATTAATTGTCAGAACCTTAAACAAGGAGAAAGATTTTTAGCTAAGAAATATTGATGTTCATGGGTCATACAAATTAACAGGTTGATATAAAGTTACCCCATATTCCATGTGGCAACCAGTTTCTCTAAGCTGTGACATTTTTGGTGGTGGATATAAAGATGGTGGTGGTAGATACAAAGCTTATCTCATAGTCTGGTCATTTTTTCATCAGGAATTGCTCTAAACTAAATTTGTCACTGTCAAAAAAAAGTATGAACATGTTTGTATATATAAAAATGAAAAACACAAACAAAAGATGAATAGTCTATTAGGATTCTTAGCACAAAATGTCCTTTAATAAAATACTTTGATTTTTACTTACAGAATATCCCCAGAGATTGGTGGGGAACAATTCATTAAAACCACTTATTGTCTATTAGGTACTTACTTGGATTCCCTAATGAACAGTTACCTCCCCAGAATCTAAGCAAAAGAGACTGCCTACCAGTTATGCAAAGACTGTCTGAACCAGAAAACAGCTCAGAAACATAGTGAAGAGGACTCAGTCTACTGTTAACAGAACAACCAGAACAAATTAGAGAGAGGTCTAGACCCAAATGTAATGCCTTTTCTGCCTAGGTCTTTAGCTATAGACCCTTTACACCCAGGGTAAAAAGAGATACCAAACAATGTAGTAACTCTACAGTTAGGACACCTCACCCCCTGGCCTCATCTGGGGATATAGGACTATAGTTCTGAAGATCACTATGGTCAACCTATATCATCAACTACAGTTATCCCTTCCACATTGCGACTTTCCCTATCACAGGTTTCCATATATCACAGGTCAGCATAAGAAATTAAATGGGAATTTTTCGGGAGTTTTGTGGAAGGTACAGATGACACACGAAGGCCAGCAGAAAAACAGAAAAAGTTTAGAAACTCAGAAATATATAAAATATATCTACAATATTGTATGACATCAATCCAAATTTAACAATAAGCTACTGTAAACACCCCATAAAAGAAAAAGAAAAAATTCAGACTTCTCTGGTATGAAGGGAAGGTCAAAACATTTTACACAGATTTTCCGGATCTCGGGGCACCACGCCCCTAACCCCCTCGATGTGGAAGGAATAACTGTAGTTCAATTATAGAGGTAGATAGGTCAGTGGGTCTCAGAAGACCAGGGCCTACTCTACTCACAACCAGGCTAACCTATTATGTTAGAGGAGAAACTGGAGAAGTGGTTACAAATCTAACCAGACAACCTGACTAATATAAGATATGCCTTATATGTAATTACATATGTTCACTGTTGCACTTGGTAATTACTGCATGTTTGTATACCACAGATATATTTTCCTGTTAGCCATATACAATTTTACTGTAATTTTATATCTATTGGCATATAATATAAGCTGTTGTCTACGTGCAATATGTTATTACTGATGTTATTATTGCAATGTTTTGTTTTGTTGATTATATATGTTTTCTTGGATATGTATGACCTGCATGTAATTTGGAGCTGAAATCACTAAAGAGCTATATAGAATTTGGGTGTATGGACAAATATACCCAGTTCACTTATTTTTCAGTTGTGCCCAACTCTTTGTAACTCCATTTGGAGTTTTCTTGGCAAAGATATTGGAGTGGCTTGCCATTTCCTTCTCCAGCTCATTTTACAGATGAGGAAACTGAGGCAAACAGGGTTAAGTGACTTGCCCAGAGTCACACAGCTAGTAAATATCTGAGACTGGATTTGAACTCATAAAGAGGAGTCTTCCTGATTCAAGCCCAGTGTTCTATCCACTGTGACACCTAGCCGCCCTAATTGGTCAATTTGAAACCTGCTTGGTTGATTTTTCTGGGGACAGTAAATGTCTAACTGAGGAAAAAGTATAAAGGAGTTGGTCCTTGAAAGTCCAAGACCTAATTACAGAAAACATTGTACAAATGTGACCATACCAGGTAATCCTTATGAGGTAGGACAAGTGCTTTGAGTGAACTGCAAAGGGAGAAATCTGACAGGAGGAGCAATGATTTCGCCACAACTCCCTGAGTGACCTTTCAAAGTCAGTTCAGTCAATCCAGGCTAAAATTAGACTGAGGGATGTAGCTCCTGACAGGGCTTGTAGACAACTCACAGACCTGGCTACGGGGAAGCTCTGACAAATCACACACAGCTAGGATATGAGTGCGTAGTCAGAGGCTGCTGACAAAGAAAGGGACCCAAACTCTGGGATGAGGTTGTGAGGGCCAACTGAGTGTGAGGAGTGTTAAACCAGTTGCTTGGCTTTAAAAAAATGTTTATTTTGTGTTTATAAATAGCATTAACTCTAGGCCTTTGCTAGTCTGCGTGTACTTATTGGGAATGCCATTGAAAGGAGGCAACAGAGGAAGGAGATAGATATAAACACTGAGATGGTTTTCTGGAATGTTGTTTCTGGCTTGAGGCTTGGAGTTGTTTGTTTATTTTTGAGACAATTAAAAGCTTATTGATTAATTGACAGAGAATTACAGATCCTTTGACATGGCTTCTCAAAGCAATAGAGGATTAACACTTTTGTTGTTCAGTTGTGTCTGACTCTTTGTGACCCCACTTGGGGTTTTCTCAGCAAAGATACTGGAGTGTTTTGCCATTTCTTTCTCCAGCTCATTTTACAGATGAGGAAACTGAGGCAAACAGGGGTTAAGTGAGTTTCCCAGGGTCCCATACATAGTAGGTATCTAAGACCAGATTTGAAATCAGGTCTTCCTGATTCCATGAGGTGTACTCTGTCCACTTTGCCACCTAGCTGCCTATGAATTCATACTAGGAAGCAATGAGTCTAAGCAATGAGTCAGTAAGTAGTAGGGTAAGGGTGAAGCAAAAAGGTGTGGTTGAACAAGCCTACTCACCATCCTACCCTATTAGGGCAGAGTTGTCTTTGTCTTTGTCTTCTACCATGCAATGTCCATGAGAAATGAAAGTGGGTATGTATAGGAAGCATAGGAAGAGAGAGTAGGCAGAGGAAGCTTAAAGTTATCCACCCAGTTGCTTTGCATGTCTTCCTTGTGCATTGAAGCCTATGGAGAAATTAATCCAACTCACCTTCGTGGGCTGTGTATTCATTATCTACAATCCTGGCCAAGCCAAAGTCAGCAATCTTGCAGCACAGATTCTCAGACACCAGGATGTTGGCTGCCCTCAAGTCTCGATGAATTGAATTCCTTTGCTCAATGTAGGCCATCCCTTCTGCAATCTAAGAGGGCAGGATGGAACATTGTTAGCTCTAGGTCCGTGTTCCTGCCACATACATGAGTGGATCAGAGCATCCTCTGGCTCTGAATCTCACCTGCAAGAGAAGCTGGCAGCAACTTTCCATATTCATTCCTTTCCATAGGTTGGAGCCTGAGCTCTCTCTGACTCTCAATCTCTCTCTCTCTCTCTCTCTCTCTCTCTCTCTCTCTCTCTCTCTCTCTCTCTCTCTCTCTCTCTCTTCCCTCTTTGTCTCTGTCTCTCTCTGTCTCTGTTTCTGTCTCTCTATCTCTGTTTCTCTCTTTCCTTTTCTGTCTTTTTCTAGGTCTCTTTCTGTCTCGGTCTCTCTCTGCTCCTCTGTCTGATCCTCTCTCTTTGTCTCTCTATGCCTCTCTGTCTCTTTCCCTTTCTCTGTCTTTGTCTTATTCTGCCTCTTTATTACTGTCTCCTTCTATCTGTTTCTTGCCTTCCCTATCTCCTCCAACACACACACACACACACACACACACACACACACACACACACACACGCACACACACTCGGTGTTCACAATATGTTTTTCTTATGGCTCGCTGACTTCCTGACACAAAATAATTCCTTTAGCAGCAATGAAAAATCTAGTAACAAGAATGATCAGGGTTTTTGTAAAGCTCTCAGAGATGGAGAGAAAACTCTCTTTGGATTTTACTACCTAATTTTATTAAATGGTTAACATCTATATAGCTCTTTAAGGTTTACAAAATGCTTTTGCATTTATTTTCTTGTTTAATCCATTCAATGACCCTATGAAACTAGTACTGTTATTCTCTCCTTTTTACAGATGTGGAAACTGAGATGCAGAGACACTAAATGATTTGCCTAAGGTCAGCGTCTGAGGCAGGATTCAAACCTAGGTTCTCCTGACTCTAAGTGCCACATGATTACCACTATTTAATACCAGTTCTGTAGTAACTTCTCTGCTAGGTGCATTGTGGGATTTAAACACCAGCCAAGTTCCAGGGAATGGTTTGCAGAAGATCTTTATAATAGTTTGATAAATGACTTATCATTCTTAGGCCAATGGAAATTTTGAGGTAGGGGGGAAAGGGAATGGGAATGTGAACAGCACCCTACTTAAAAACACTCATTTTAGGAATGACCTCATTACAATTTCCTGAATAGTACTGAGAACACCACCATCCTCCCAGTTGCTTAGGCTTACCACTTATGTCATACTTAACTCCTCACTATCTTTCACCCCCATATTCAATTTGTTGCCAAATCTTGTCGATTTTTACCTTTATAACACTCTTATAATCACCTTCTTCTCTCCTCTGACACTGTCACCCCCTGGTACAGGCCCTCATCATCTCATACTTGGACTACTGTAACAGCCTGTTGATTAGTCTGCATGTCCCATGTCTCTCCCCACTCCAGTGATCCTCTACTCATTAGTTAAATAAATTTTCTAAGGCATAGATATGATTTTTAAAAATACTCTGTAGCTTTTTGTAACCTGGTCCCATCCTAACTTCCCACTCTTCTTATCCCTTCCTCTTCCCTATACCCCACCCTGCCCCCTCCAGCATGTACTCTGCAATCCAGTGACATTGGCCTCCTTCCTTGCTGTTTCTTGCAAAAACAAAAACAAAACACTCCAGTACCTGAAACATGTTAGGTGCTTAATAAAGATTTGTTGACTGACTCCATCTCAAGATGGGCATTTTCACTGGAAATTCCCCATGACTGAAATATTATCCCTTCTGGCTTCCTTGTGTGTGAATTGAATGAACCACACTAGCTCCATCTCGTAACTCAGTTCTGGACCTAGCTCAGTTCCTTTTCTATTCAGTTATGAGTCTAGTCCAATCTCTGCCTTGTGTGAAAACTTTATTGAATTATGGGAATTATAAGAAAATTTTATTGTGTTGTTTGAACCTAGCCCCATGTGGCTGGGAAACTAGACCACTCTGCCTGCTGCTTAGCGATTCTTTTTTTTTTTTTGCTTTTGCTTTTTTTTGGTAAGGCAATGGGGATGAAGTGACTTGCCTAGTGTCACACAGCTAGTAAGTGTCAAGTGTCTGAGGCCAGATTTGAACTCAAGCCCTCCTGACTCCAAGGCCAAAGCTCTATCTACTTTGCCACCTAGCTGCCCTTGCTTAGTAATTCTTAACTAAGGGCCTAGATTATGCTGACTAGAAAACCTAGTCAGATTCAAAGATTGATGCAAAGTTTTGTCACAATTAAAAATCTCAAGCAGCCCATATGTCTTATCTGAAAACTGGCCCTGTACCGGGTTAATCAGTTATTATTTCCACGTTCCTTTGAGTACAGACAACTAGGGGGAGTGGTGGGACACTTCTTTTTCTGATTTCAGGGAATTGTACTTGTTTGCTCTCCCCCTGCTAACTTGGAAAGTCCCTAAGCTTTCTTCCAATTAGAAAACAGATTACCTAATTTTGTACCCTGATTGTTTTCTTTTAATTAATTGGTCTTGTTTAGTTAATTGTTTTTAAATGCATAAAAATCTGTCTTCCTCTGTATTCAGGGTCCAGTGCCAAGGCTGAAGAGGCCTGGTCTTGATTTGTTATGCAATTGGCATGCATTGCTTAATAAATTGATACACTCAGAAGCTTGAACATTTGCTTCCTCAGTCATCAAACACCTGTCTCTTGGCTTCCTTTAAGTCCCAGATAAAAGCTCACCTTCTACAAGAAAGCTTTTCCTGGTTCCCCTTAATGCTAGTGCCTTCCATCTATTGATTTTCTCCAATTTATCCCGTACGTATGCTTGTACGTAGTCGTTTGCATGTTATCTCCCCCATTAGATTGCAAACTCCTTGAGGAGTTGTCTTTTTTCTTTCCCTGTATCTTTAGCACACAAGATACTAAGTATAGCAAAGAGTAAAATGGGTAGGAGAGGCATCAAGTGCCTTTTCAAGAATTTGGGCAGTGAAAGAGAAGAGAGAAGTAAAATGGTAGCTGAGTGGAATAGGAAGGTCAAAGATAGGGTTTTGTTTTGTTTTTTTAAGAACTGGGAAGGACTGACCATATTTTTAGGCAAAAAGGAATGAACCAGTGGAGGAGAGATTGAAGATATATGAGAGAGAGAGGTTGGCTGCTGGTTGGGATGGGAGCGATGGACACAGGTCGAGGAGCCAACCTTGACAAGGATGAGAAATATTTCTCTTCCATTGCTGGCTCTGAGACAGAAGGAAGGCAAAGACAGAGAAACATTTGGAGTGCGGGGCTGAAAAACTTGAAGCCGTTTCTTTCTCATTTGCCCAAATTTTTGAAAAAGCAATTGATTTTTCTACTACCCATTTATCTCTACCACCCATTTTACTCTTCAATCCTTTGCAATCTGGGGACCCATTTTGCCACAGGGCATTTTCCCAATGTCTGAGGTCTCTCTGCCCCTCTAAATGCTTGCCTTGGGTATGTTTGGGGTGTATTTTTATTTTGGCTACCAGAGCAACTGTTGCTTACCAACTACTATTTTCACAGAAAAAAAAATGTTCTGAGTTTCAGATAGCTGATTTAGAAACTTGGTTATGCTACCAAAACTTTTATCTAAATTGAGAGTTGCCTATAGCTTAGAAGTCTTATATAAGGCAATATATTTGTACTATTTAGAAGAGTATCTATTTCTATTTTTCATATAAACTACACAAATCTGTAATTAATAAAAATTTAATTGCTTTTAGTTTTCATCTCCTTTAAAATGATTCCTCTAGACTGAAATACTTTGGGTAAGTTCAGATCAGTTGTTCATTATGACCTATTTAAATATTAACATTATTTGAAGCATTGCTAAAGGTCAATCCTTTGATTTAAAATATTTTAGAAGCGTTTTTTTCTCCTTTCAAGAGCTGGAGAAAGGGGAGCTATAAGAAGCCACAAGGAGATAAAAGATCAGAACCACAGGTAGAGGCAGCCATCACAAAGAAAGGCATCAGGACTCTAGTATCCAGGTAAGAGGAACGGAGATGATAGATAGAAAAGAACCTGTGTTATTGACACTCCCACATCTCCTTCCTGCCTATCCTCCCCTACACCTTAAGCTTTAATGATAAGCTGAAACCTTTTCTTTTTGTCTGGAGGGGAATGGTGTTTATTTACTTTTCTTTGCTTATAATTTTTAGTTTGTCTTCATACATTATAGTAATTACCAGCTGTTCTCAGTTGGGTTGTGCATAATTACTGACAGTACTGTTGGGAAGAAGCAACTTGTTCTCAGACAAGAGGAAGAGACAGAGGTAGAACTAGCACTGAGGTGTTTTGCCAGAAATATTTTTGATTGAGGGCTTAGCTAACAAAAACATAAAGAGAACCATAGATTCTATGGGACTACTTCCCAGGGCAGAAAAGGAGCATCCACCTGGGTAGTGATGCAATAGTAAAACAAGGAACAAATAAGAATGATTGAGCAACCCTGATTAGCACATTACATTCCTCAGTACTGCTACATTTTTATAAAAGTAATTTTTAACACTACAAAGTGACTTATCTATTTCTTATATGAAAAGCATAGATATATAGTCTCTTTTCCCAACATCAATTTTAGATGGCCAATTACATTTTTCCAAATAGTTTTGCCAAAATTTTGGTTTCAGAGAATAGAAGATAAAACATGGCAAAGAGGCAAGGGACTATGGGTATGGAATATTGTACATGTCACTCATGTCTGTTGTTGGTAGGGTTCATAATTATTATTTTGTTAAAATAAAGGATTAAAGTACCTAGCACAGTGCCTGGCACATAGTAGGTATGTAATAAATGCTTGTTGACTCTTAATAGAGAAATAACTGGTAGAGAAAACAAAAGACATCAATACAACTTTTTAAAACAAAGATATGGCCATTTCATTCATGGTCCCAATAAATAAATATCATTTTAAAAGGTGTATAATGTGAACACAACTGAGAAATGACTATTCCTGTGAGAAGTCATTTTATAATTAATGATGTTAAGAACTCAAAATCAAGTGTGTATTCAATGAGCAAGCAACAAATTAGTTCAGGTTTCTCTGTGTACATATGCACGTTTCTTCGGAACCTAATGGTTCCATCTCCTTCCTCCTTCTCCTATCCTTCCATCCAAATTTGCCCTCTGGTGCTTTCAGAGAAAGAGGAGGCATGAAGGGAGAACAGGGGAGAGGGAAAGAGAGAGAAAGAGTGAGAGAGAAAAAGAGGGAGGAAGAGGAAGAGAAAGAAAGAAGGAAAGGTAGGGAGGAGACGGAGAGAAAGAGAGAGGGAAGGAAAGAAGGAGAAAGGAAAGAACACAAGAGAGAGAGATAAAGAAGGAGGAGAAAGGGAGGGAGAGTGGAATGAGAGGGAGAGAGAGGGAGAGGGAGAGAGAGACACACACAGAGAGAGAGAGAGAGAGAGAGAGAGAGAGAGAGAGAGAGAGAGAGAATGAAGGTCGGAGAGAAAGGTGGGAGTTTTCACTTCTTTTTAGAGGGAGAAGGAGGAAAACCAGAGTGGCACTTTTTTTCTGAACAGAAACTACAAAATCTACTTGTTCTTGTCCTTACATCTTTTGACCAAGGGATATAAGCATAGTCTGGAAGAATTCAAGCAATTTGGAGCAGTGCTCTGGGGAAAGAAAGCACCTCCTGGTTAGTCTAATTATTTAGCAGAGTGGATAGTGAGCTGGCCTTGAAGACAGTGAGACATGGGGTCGAGTCATGCTTCTAAAACCTACTGGTAGTGTAAATATTGGCAAAATCTTAAACTCTCAGTACTCTGTACTCAGTACTTTCTTATACTGCATATAGAGAAGGTGCTGCCAAAGGTGCCCACTGCACTGGTTGAGGTGATTTCTTCCCTTGGGAGTTCCCTATACCAGTGAAATCACAGATCCAGTCCTTTTCCCCTGATTTTTCTACCCAGGTGCTGGCTTAGTTATTTCTGAAGGAATTCAAGTGTTATTAGCACTCTCAAAACTTTAGCACTTAGGAGGACAAATCTCTGCTCAGTGCATGCTAATTGTGGTTATGGTGGTTAGGTTCCCTTAGAGCATCTTATGGAGATAGACTGTGGGAATGGTTTGTTGTTTTTTTTTCACATATTTATCTTATGTACCCTATTAGTGTATAAGTTCCTTCATTACATTCTCTCCTTCATCCCCGAAAATAGAATCTTGATCACAGTACGTCTTGCCAACTAATATTTGTTGTATTAATTTGGGTCATATCTTGAGGACAGAGCTTTAGGGAAAGCCTGAATTTTGTGAGTGGGATGAGAAATCAACGAAGGAAATGTTAAAGTGAGTAGTTATAGAGAGAGGAGGAGAGTATAATGTGCGTGGCTGTGTTTCTGTGTGTATCACAGGCTGACCACAGACCAAACACCCACGCTTCATGGCTGTCAAATGTGTTTTCCTGCCGGTCATGGGGAGGGGATTTAGTCTGTCAAGCTTTAGTAACCCCAATGAAATAAATTTTCCTCCCCTAATCCAACTCTCTTCCCCTCCCTGGGATGGGTAAATTCTGAATAAGATTCCAAAGAACATCAAGTTCTACCTCCACTAGCTTTGGTATCATGATGCCTAGGGCAAAGTGGGCTTGATCTCTTCAAATTATGTAAAGATATTTAACGCTGGATTATTTTCTGTCTGAGGATGGAGTCTGAATATTTCACAGCTGCTGAAATGCATTCCTGCTCAAGTGTTTGGAAGGTCCCCAACACTGACTCACCATCAGGGTTCTTGGAAATTGAATAACTTTTTCATTTTAGAAGCTGTCATAAGATAGTGGCATAATGGATACATCTGGCCTCCAGTACAGAAAGAACCAGGTTCACATTTGACACATGCTGGTTGTGTACCTCTGGGAAAGTAACATAGCCTCTCAGTTCCCCAGGCAATCTCTGAGACGACACATTGCAGAGCAGGTTGCTGACCTGTTTCGGCAGAAGGTTTTTTTTCTTCCCCTGGGAGCTCTCTATACAAGGAAATCAGAGGCCTAGTAACCACAGCATCTATCTTATGGAGAGGAGCATAGAGGGTGAGAACTGAGGGAGGCATATTACCAGTGAAGGACTTCCTTGTAGACAATGACTAAAGATGTTATCAGAAAGATTTATAACTAGAAGAAGAGGCAGGCAAAGAAGGCAGAAGGATACTGGGAAAAGAGGTGGGCAAAGAAGGTAGGGAGTAGAGTAATAGATGGCTAGCTTGTATGTTAGAAAGGTATTCATGTATGCCCATAGCATGTTGGGTGGACCAACCCTCCTCAGGAGGGTTAGAGGAGTACAAGTAGTTACACTGAATAAGAGGGTTATGGGTGCCTTTGTGAGACAATGAGAGAATGACTGCCTTGATTAGATTATAGACCCATGGAAGAAGAATTACTTTATATAGAAGCTATTTAACCCTACATGTTTAGCACACAGTTCTGACCATGTTGCTCTTCTGATCAACAAGATGCTCTGGCTCCCCATCGCCTTTAGATTAAAATGCAATCTCTTCTGTTAAGCATTTAAATCTCTTTTTGATCTGACTCCAGCTGATCCTTCCAAACTGATTAACAGTGTTCCATCAATCAACAAGAACTCATTAAACACCTACTATGTGTTAGGCACATGCTAAGAGCTAGAGATAGAGAGACAAAAACGAAAGTCTCTGACTTTAAGGAGACTATACATTAGCAAGGAGATATGCACATAAATAAGCATATACAAAATGTATTCAAGAAAAATACAAGGTAATGGTGTGGGGCACTAGCCATTGGAGGGAGAAAGAAAGGCTTCATGGAGGAAGAAGTGGTATTTGAGCAATTTTGAAGGAAAGAATGGATTCTAAGATATCTATTCCAAATATGAGAGTTAGCACAAAGTCATGGAGACAGGAATGTCCTGAATGAGAAATGAGTTGGTCTTACTCACCCCTCACATCTTCTTGTATGTAAAATTCCATTTCCTTTCTCTTGCCCTTCCTGGAATTGTCTCTTTCCTAACCTCTGCTACAGGGAACCTCTAAATTCCTTGAAGACTCAGTTCAAGTCCCACGTTTTGTGGTTTCTTTAGATGTTACTATCTGACCTCTCATCAGTTCACTGTGTATTTACTGTGTCTGTCTGTTTATTTGCTTGTATGTGAACCCCCTAGCAAAATGTAAGCTCCTTGAGGGTAGAAATTATTTTCTGGTTTTTTTTTTTTTGTATCCTAACTACCCAGCATTGTTCCTGGTACATAGTAGGCTATTAATAAAGCCTTATTGGAAGGTTGATTGATACCCATCAGCATTCTATTTCAAGAAACAAGGCCAGTATGGGCACTCTTATTCACTGATAGAATTCTCTCTAATCCTCAAGATAACTGAGGTGGCCCAATGGCCATTCTACTGAATCAGTGCCAATCTTTGAACTCTCCACTTTTTGTCTCCACTGAGTGGCGACAACATAACATAATGGATTCATCACTGGATCTACTCATGGGTCCTTAGTAAATGATTATTTACCCTTTCTGAGGTCAAGATAGAATGAGAGAATGTGTTATATAACCTATATCAAATTGATTGCCATTTTAGGGAGGGGGGAAGAAAGAGGGAGAAAAATTTGAAACTCAGATTTTTAAAAAATGAATGTTAAAAATTATCTTTACATGTAATTGGAAAAAAATACTATTTTAAAAAACAAGAGAATGTGTGTTAAAGTATTCTGGGAAGGGTAAGCATTGAGCAAATGACAGATGGGACCATTGTTATTGTTACTGGTTATCCCTGGCTCACACACCTGGGCCATTATGTCAATCAGTCTTGATAACTGCAGCTTGCCACCTTCTTCCGTCTTTAGGAAATCCAATAAGCACCCTAATAAGAAAGAAATTAAAGCACTGTTTCAGAAAAAATGACCTGGCATCTGCTCTTGTCAACTTTGCTCAGCTAGATTCTCCCAGAGCAAGCTGCTCCTAAAAGTAAACCAGCCAAATAAACTCTTCCAGGTCATTTTGGGCAAAGAGAGAGTAGTTTGTTAAGTGATAACCCATGTAACCTCCCAACATATCTAACATGCCCTAGCAGTATGTTGTATGCCCAAAGAGCTGCTTCTTACTCTTAAGATTTGTTTAGAGGCAGGCTCGCTGCATGAAATAAGTTTTAAAATAATTTTCTTTGTTAGCCTTCTTTTCTTGCTCAGGTTCTTCTAATCTGGAGCATTCCACTCTAAGGGCCTGGTGCTTCAGAATAGCATCCATGGCATGCTGATGTTTCATGAGGAATGCATGGGGAGAGCAGCATCCCTGCAGCATGGGAACAATGGAGGCAGCAATGCTCCTCTCTCCTCTTCTCTCTTTCCTCCCTTCTCCCATCTGTTCTACCCTTCTCTCCTCCCCTTCCTCTTTCTTCTCACCTCCTCTCCTCTGTCCCATCTCTCCTTTTCCCTTTTCTCTCAATCTTGCTTCTTTCATCTTTTCTCTCCCCATCTCTCTTCTTCCTTCTCCTTTTTTTCCATTTCCTACCCTCATTCCTTCTTTCCCCCTCTTTCCCACCTTCATCCCTCCTTTTCTCTCCCCTCTTTCCCCCTTGCCTCCACTCTAATCTCCTCTTCTTCCATATTTTTCCCCTTTTCCCTTTCTCTCCTTTTCCTGCTCCTCTCCACTCCTCTCCTCTGCTCTTTCCTCAGTTTCTCTTTGCCTTACTCTTTCTCTCTTCTTTTTTCACCCCCTTCTCTCTTCTTTTCTTTCCACTCCTGGCCCCACTTTCTCTCATTCTCTCTCCTCCATTTCCCTTCCCTTTCCTAATTTTCTTTCTCCTCCTCTTCCCCCTTCCATCTCTTTCTTTCTTCTCCTCTCCTCTCCTTTCTCTTCTATCTCCTCTTCCTCCTGTGAGGACCAATGAAATATAAAGCTTGTCTTCCTAAACTCCCAGAGAGAGCAACCTTCACAAGTAGCACTTACTCCTTTCTCTCCCTGCCCCTTTCATCCCCCAGAGAGGACAGAGATTGACCACTTGCTTCAACTCATTGTTCAGGCTTTGTCTCTTAGAGATCTGCCTGACAAGCACTCAATCAGTAGTCAGTGAAGTCCACTGAATCTAAACTCTTAGCAGCCAGAATCTTACATATCTATACCACCTACAGCCCTTGCCCACCCCCAGCCTCAATCTCAAGGTCTAAGTCTTGTCACCTTTGGCCATGTATTCTGTGACAATATAGATGGGTTCCTGGGTTACCACTGCATAGAGACGGACCAGTTTGTCATGCTGGAGGGTTTTCATCAGATTGGCCTCGGCAAGGAAGGCCTCGGGAGACATGCTGCCCTCCTTCAGGGTCTTGATGGCCACCTTTATGTTATTTTTATAATAACCTGTGCCAAGGAGAAGATCAAGATGCCCATTAAGGATATAGATGTTCTACTTAGAAGCAAGGCCCTTTCACCATGAGGCAACATGAGGCAGTGGAAGCATTTGGATAGGAATCAGAAGACTTGGTTCCTAATCCTAGCTCTGCCACTTACCATCCCCATTTTACATATGAATAGATTGAAATTCAGAAAGTTAATTATTTGAAAGTTTGTCATATGGAAGAGGGATTTGACTTGTTTCATTGGGTCTCAGTTGGCAGAATCAGAGGCAGCAGAGAGAAATTGGGAAGAGGGCAAATTTAAGCTTGATGTCAAGAAAAACTTGCTAACAGTTAGAGCTGTCCAAAAGGGGAGGCATTGGGCAGCCCCCCAATGGAAATCTTTAAGCAGGGGATGGAAGACTACTTATTGGGTATGTTGTGGTACGGATTCATTTTTGGGTATGAGTTGGACTAGATGGTCCCTGAAGTGCCTTCAAACTTTAAAATTCTACGATTCATTTCAGACTCAAAACTAGGAATCCAGAAGAGTTTTGCTGTCATTCAATCAACCACCAATAAGCATTTGTTAAGCAAAAAATCATTTTATTCATTCATTCTTTCACCCATTCAGGTTAAATCAATAAGCACTTTTTTTGGGGGGAGGGGGGAGGCAATCAGGGTTAAGTGACTTGCCCAGGGTCACATAGCTAGTAGGTGTCTGAGGCTGGATTTGAATTCAGGCACTCAGGTCCTCCCGAGTTCAGGGCTGGTGTTCTATGTACTTCCCCACCTAGCAGCCCCAATAAGCACATTTTAAGTGTTTACTACATACCAGGCACTGTGCGCACTGTGCGCACTGTGCTAAGCACTGGGAATACAAATAAAGGCAAAAAAGAAAGTCTCTTCCCTCAATTATATTCTAGTAATGGAAGACAATAAATAAAAGTAAAGTGACAAAGAGGAGGAGGTTCATTAAGCCTTTATTATGGGCCTACTGTGTGCCAAGCACTACTCCAGGCACTGGGGACACAAGGTCACAAAATAGTTCCTCTCCTCAAGAACCCATCCAAAAAGGTTCGGAGAGAAGGTCTGCAAATAATTCAAGAGAGAGATTACCGGCCTAGGGATCACCCAGAAAGGTTCAGAAGGAAGGCCTCCAAATAACTTAAGGAAGAAAGTACCAGACTAGGGATTGGAATCCTCTGGTTAGCCTTGCTGTGTTCCTTTAGCCACACCACTTATCTCAGCTTCCTCTTCATTGGATGGGGATAAGAAGTCAATCAATCAATAAACATTTATTAAGCACCTACTGTGTGCCAGGCACTAAGCTGGGGATGTAAAAGGAGGCAAAAGACAGTTCCAGGGGGCAGCTAGGTGGCACAGTGGATAGAGCACTGGCCCTGAAGTCAGGAGGACCTGAGTTCAAATCCGGCCTCAGACCAAACACTTGATACTTACTAGCTGTGTGACCCTGGGTGGGTCACTTAACCCCAATTGCCTAAAAGTAAAAAAAAATTTAAAAATTAAAAATTTTAAAAAAGACTGTTCCTGCCCTCAAGGAGCTTACAATTTAATCTAAGTCCTAACCTACTTGCTTCAGTGTTATTTTGAGGCCCCAAAGAAAGCATGTATAACAGCATATAACATACACAAGGGATTGACCCCCCCCCGAGAGGCCCCTTTTCCCCTGTCTGTTTCATTTCCCCCTCCCCATACTGTATCCCCAGGAGACCCTGAGCAGCACATACTTACCCATCCAGACTTCTCCAAACTGTCCAGAACCAAGTTTCCTCACCAGTTTCAGTGATTGCCGGGGCACTTCCCATTCATCCTGGGCCCAGTGTGTCTGAGGATCCAGAATCACACAGGGCATAGTCAGCTTCTGGCATAAACCGTCCCCTCTCTCTGTGTTACAGTGACAAAAACACATGGACGGGTCATTTCTGGGGCAGCAAAGGAACCGTGCCTCTCCCTTCTATTTGGAACATCCTAGTCCCCCCACCTGACATTACTAATCTTTGCTCATTAACATTCCAGAAAGATACAAATGGCTTTGCTATGGTCTCTTCTCCACTTCTCCTTCTGCCATTATTTGTGCTTTATTCGAATGAAGCACCTATCACCTTGTCTTTCATATGGTAGGTGCTTAACATACACTTTTTTTTGCCCTGAGATTTTATGGATGTAGAATACTTTCCAGTGAGGAAATGTCCCTCTACTAATGCAGGTATGCAGATAGCTAGACTACAACTCCAACTTAAAGAGTTGCCCAGGACACTGAGAAGTAGATGACTTGCCCCATAGCCAATATGTTCCAGAGACTGGACTTGTACCAAGGTCATTCTTACTCCAAGGCAAGACCTCTACTATGCCACTCGGCATTAGACCAGCATAAGGTGTGTATTAATCCACGCTCTTCAAGTGCATTTAGATTTAAATTTTGCTCCTTTTAGAGCTGTCATACAGTGAGCCTGTATGTGGCAGGCTTGGGATTGGTGAAGGCAAGGCCACTTAATGTTATTAATTGCCATGAGGAAATACTTTGGTGAATTGGTAATTTCCATGGAAATGGAAAATTCTATGGAAATAATATTATAATAGGATAATCAGCCTAAATATCTTTACAGAGGAACTTTGTAGGGGTATGCTGGAGTCAGCTCTAATAGACTCACAAAAGCTGATTGTTAAATTTTCTGTGTGAGCTTTTATATCTCAAGTCTACAAATGCATTAAATAAAGGCTTGAGTTACTGCTTTGTTGATTGTTTAGACTTAAGAAAGTGATGGAGAAAAATGGTAATAATGTAGATTAAATGCCTTGTGTACAGTTTTTTTCTTCTGAAGAGCTACTTGTTAAACATTTACCAGCACAACCTAAATATAACTCTGAGATTCAGTTACAATGTATTAATGATGTTATTGTGAAATAACTGCCATATGATCACAGAGGAACTGCAAAAGGCAGTGTGAATAGTAGGTGCAAGGATGCGCAGCATATTATTAGCAATGATTTATAAGCAAGAAGTGGTATAAAAGACATCCTCGGTGAAATGTAATGCTGGAGGGAGGAGGTGGGCAAGTTGAGCAGTGATAGTGAGAGATAGGCAGGTGGGCAATAGTAGTGAGACATGGGCAGATGAGCAGCCCTAGTTTTGCACTGGTACCCACAAAAATTAAAAGATAGACACAGGAGTTCTTTACCAGTGTTCATGAACTTTTTTTTTTAATAATTGTATTTCAATGTAGTTGGTTTCTTTTGTGATCTTATACATTTAAAAATATTCTGAGGTCTACAGGGTTAATCACATTAGGATCTGGTTTTGTCAAGTATAAAAAGTTAAGAAAAATGAGGATGGAGACTGGAGAATCTTTGATGAACATGCACCAAGGTAGAAGAGATTATAAACCTATTCAAGTGTCTAAGTATTGCCTGAGTACAATTTCAAATTGGGCAATGCCTATGTTTCCACTAATTCAATATCATTAATGTCATGAACTATAGAGCTATACAATGTCAGAACTGGGAAATAGCTCAAAGGTCATCAAATCAACTCCACCATGTCCCAGATAATATGATAAAACTGTGAAAACACTCTAAGGACCTTCCTTTCTTTAAGGAAAATACTAATAAATAATATTATTCTTGTCTGAAGTCCTTTGGGAATTATCTGAATGAAATAAACCTTGTCAGTACTTAATCGTAGACTGTCCTAGTCTAAAATCCTTCGTTTCATCTCTATCAAAGGTTCAACTAGTTTCTAATAGGAAACTCTTAAACTCCAAAAAAATGATTATGTGGTAACCCACTCTTGTAGTAGGAATATTCTTTGATTAACCAAGAGCAGTATCTCTTTCTCTGACTTTGGCCATCTTTAACATAACAGGATTCTTCAGGTCACACTGATATTTAGAGTTATTGTTCTCTTTAAATAAATCAAAAACTCTAACCTAGACTTTGTATCTTTTAAAAATTTTGACTGTGGATTGTTGCCTGTTTCATGATTGCTATACCATTGTTAAGTAAGAACAGTTGTGACAAGTTTTGAATTAATGGGGATGTGGTGGGAAGGGGAACACTGACCTTTTTATTTCTCTTTCTCTAAGAATTGCTTAGATTTAGGGAATTCATTTCTAACCAACTTGTACCAGATGAGCAGAGTATATGCAGCTAAGTCCAGAGAGAGGAGAGAAGGAAAGGCTAGTGAGTGTCAGAACTGGGAGTAGAATATGATTCTCCTTGTACCTAGCACAGGGCTCACAGCCATCAATTATAAAGCCCAATCTTGTTTAATATATACTTCTATATAAGCACAAGGGATTTCCCTAGAACCAAATTCAGTACCCAGCTCTTACTAGAATAATGTTGGACCAAAGCTTGTAGCGATGAGAAGGTAATCCTGGGAGAGATATAATACCCTCCTTCATCTAGGGACCGGATCTTATAATGTTTGATCACATCCCCAGCAGAGGTAGTATCCTTCACAGACAGGGAAAAGGCACCTGGAGAATTAATTAACAAACACACATATGGGAGAAATAAGTCATCAACTCAAGGAAATTAAATGTCTAGGCAAATACAGTGGGATTTGGGTTTCCTTTAAATTACTTAGTGGGGTGGGGTTATGACAGCTAGGTGGCACAGAGGATAGTGCACCAGTCCTGGAGTCAGGAAGACCTGAGTTCAAATCCAGCCTCAGACACTTGACACTTACTAGCTGTGTGACCCTAGGCAAGGCACTTAACCCCCAATTGTCTTGCCCCACCCCCAAAATAATGGAGTTTTCCAAACATTTCCCATGTCTACCTGACTTCTGCCTATAGTTTCATCAATTCCTCAAAATTTAGCTCAAGTCAAGACCCTAGCAAGATTTTCCCATCTGACTAATTACCAAGTGTTGCTAACCTTATCTTCTGAGCACTTATTCCTAGAAGGATTATAGATTTAGATCTGCAAGGGACACTCAAGGTCATTTGGTCTAACTTTCCTCTTTTGAGAGAGGAGGAAACAGAGGCCCAGAGAAGACAGATACCTTGCTCAGAGTCACACAACTAGTGGCAGAGCTGGAGTTTGAACCCAGGGCTTCCTATGATAGTGAACAGTCTCCTACTTTTAAAGGGTTGCTCCAGGTATTGTAGACACCCTGGGTGTGGGTGTGGGGAGGATGTTTAGGCTTCAATGTCTGCTACCCAAGACATTGTCACAGCCAGGCTGCTGGCTAGAAGCAGCTCTTCTGCTTTCTCCCTGTTGTCTCCAGCCCAAGTTCTCCTAATCAAAGCCATCCCCACTAGTCTCATTCACATTCCCTCTCCCCCCTCCCCTTACCAACCGGCTTCTTCCTCTTCCACTAGAGGGAGAAGAGAACGCAATGCTTGTATCAGTTAAGAAGCATTTAAGTTCCTTCTATGTATCATGCTCAGTGCTGGGGCACAGAAAAAGGCAAAAATAAGGTCCTTGACCTCAAGGAGCTTATAATCCCATCAGAGTATCAATGTACAAACAAGCATGTACTATGTATGTTCTGCCAACATATATAGGTACACACACACAGAAGGGAAAGATAATTTCAGAGGGCTGGCACATGGCTTTTGCTCAGGCCCTACCCATTCCCTGGCTTCATGTGCCTCCAGGTTGACAAATGACATCCAGGATCACAGAATGCCAAAGCTGGGAGGGATCTTAAAATCACCTAGTTCAGCTCCTCTCTTTTTCAGAAGAAGGAAACACAGAGAAGTGATTTGAGCAAGATTTCACAGTGTGAAGGGCTGAGCCAGGCCCAGGGCAGGGCCCCTGTAGGCCTCTTGGTTCCCAATGCCATGCTCTTTGCCCAGCGCTGCTCAGAAGGGTTGCTTTGTCCTTACCTTTGTTTGTTTCACTCTCTCTAATAAGGAAGGCACCAGCCTTGTTGACAGGGGCCAAGAGTTTCCTCTCAGCATCTCTCCGGCTAATTGTTTTGCAGAACCACCTGGAAAGAGAAGGGGGAGGAGAGGACCCATCAAATGGTAGCACAATCTTCCAGAGCTCTTCTCATTACGCCTCATGCTTTGGTGCTTCTCCCATAGCCATGTCCAGTATGCCCAAAGGCAAAGGGGAAACCCCCCCCACAAAACCCCATAACTCATGAGTCTATGTAATACTTTCCTGCCTCCTAGAATATTATCAGTCCTTGAAACTAGCTAAAATATAGCTACGACTTGATTTGAGACAGACATTCCACATACGGGAACTTTGTCAACTTAGAGACACATGAAGAAAAGAATGTGTTGGTCCAGAGCTATATGTCTGCCCCCTGAGAGCTCGCTCTCTCTCTTCACACACACACACACACACACACACACACACACACACACACGATGTTGGCAGAAAATATGCATGTATATTAACACTCCTAGTAGATTGTGAGCTCCTTGAGTTGCCTGGGACAAGAGCTTAAGTGTTTGCCCAGGGTCACACAACCAGTAGATGGACTTGCAACAGAAGTCTTCTTGATTCCAAGCCATGACTCTTTATCCACTATACCACATATTAGGCATTCATTAAATCATCACTGAATTTAATTAAATAGAACCTTTATAGCCTAGATTTAAAGTTCCACCAACATCAGCATTTAATACTGTGACTGGCACAAGTAAGTACTTAATATATACTGGTTGTTGATCCAACGTCTCCCACATCTGCAAATGTGCTACCTGAACATTCTAATGTATACAATACCAATCCAGTAGAATTTTGAACTAGAAGAGACTGGATAGAGGAAATTAGGGCCCCAGCTTGAACCCTAACTTTAAATATGTTCCTCTATCTACTACATCCCAGGTGGTGCAGTGGATAGAGTGCTGGGCCTAGAGGGAGGAGGACCTGAGTTCAAATCTGGCCTCAGACGTTTACTTTGAGCAAGACTTAACACTCTGCCTCATTTCTTCATCTGTAAAACGATCTGGAGAAGGAAATAGCAAATTGTTCCAATATCTTTGCCAAAAAGAAAAACCCAAATGGCATCACAAAGAGTCAGACATGACTGAAAAACAACAAAAACTACTTCTCTATGTAGGGATAAGAGTTCAAATTCCATGGGAATGATTATTCCGATAAGGAACTGTCTTATGAAGCCCCAGGGAAGCTTGACTATGACAAGACAGTCCACACCACAGCCTCATACCCTAAGGTATGTCCTGAATTTTACAAGATCTATCTCTATGAGGGGGCAGCTAGGTGGCTCAGTGGATAGAGCACCGGCCTTGAAATCAGGAGGACCTGAGTTCAAATCCAGCCTCAGACCAAACACTTGACACTCACTAGCTGTGTGAGCCTGGGCAAGTTGCTTAACCCCAATTGCCTAAAAACACACAAACAAAAAAAGATCTATCTCTATGCAGGAAGGAAGGGTACAGGGACAATTCTCATTCTCTATGGCTGGGCAGAGCAAGTTGGCTTATTGAAGATCACAGTGAACCTTTGTTGCAATCAAGGTGGTAAAAAAAACCCCAAAAATTCAAAGAGTCAGGCAATTGCTCTCATGTCTGTCCCCCATCCCACCCCCTCCCCCCACGAAATGTAAGACTGTGCCAATATTAGTATTAAAGTGCACCTACTTTTCAATTTCCAAAGTCTCTACTGGAGCAACAAAGTTGCTAGGGACATAGCCTTCCCTTCCAGTGACAAGTGATTTGGCCAACCACCAATCTCCAGTTCTGAGAGTGAAAAAGGAAAAACACAAATATAATGAAAGTCCTACATTCAGGGCTTTCCTATGAGGGAGCTCAAATCACTTTACGAACATGATCCCAACCCTGAGAGATAGTGAGAAATAGATAGAAGAGAAATGACAAACAGAATCATAAGCTGGCTTTGTACATCCCTATTATTTCTGATTTACTGAGGGGTGGGACATCCTGACAATTACAAATATGTGTTTGGTACTTGTCTTCTCACCTGTTAATGAGCAACATTCATGGAAAACTTGATCCCGGTAGGAGAATGGGACAGAATTGAGGAGAAGGAGCTAGACAGCCCCGTATATAGAAACTGCTCTGTCACAGGTTAGGACTTGAAGGCCAAACTTCCAGAACAGTAGTCAGATGCAGTTTGGTTTTCAGAATAAGATATGAAGAGGAAGCAATGTAGCTTAGTGGGAAAAGTTGCTGGATTTGAGTCAGAGGAAAGCTCTGCCACTCAGTAACTATGGGACTTTGGGCAACACTTCTTCCCAAGACATTAGTTCCCTCATTAGTGAAATGAGGGGGTTAGACTTGAACTCTTAAGTCCCTTCTTGGTCTACAACTCTGATCCTAAGTTTCAAGTGCAGTGATATGTTATATATTTTTCCTTCTTAAAAACTCAGTTAAAATGACATGATCAATCTAGTTACTCTATATATGAAATAGTAGCAGCAGAGTACAGTGGGACGTGCTGAATTTGGAGTCAGGATTTAAGCACAGCGGATAGAACACTGAGCCTGGAGTCAGAAGGACCCATCTTCTTGAGTTCAAATCTGGTCTCAGACATTTACTAGCTCTGTGACCCTGGGCAAGTCACTTAACCCTGTTTGTCTCAGTTTCCTCATCTGTAAAATGAGCTGGAGAAGGAAATGGCAAACCACTTTAGAATCTTTGCCAAGAAAACCCCAAATGAGGTCACGAAGAGGCAGACACAACTGAACAACAAAATTTGGGTTTGAATACTCTTCCTGCCCCTTACTATCTGTGTGATCTGGGGTATGTCACTGGACCACTCTTTGTCCCAGTTTCCTCATTTGTAAAACCCTGGGGTTTTATTAGATGATCTCTGAGATTCCTTCTAGTTCTAAATCTTGGGTTCTATTCTTTACTATAGAAGTTGAATGATTGGTAAAAAGTAAGAAAACAAAATTTGAAAAAACAATGAGCAAAAAGGACAGATTGTTTTATTTTTATTTTTAAAAAATAATTAAAACATGCAACCTTTTACATCTTTACTTTTAATTTGTAGGTCAAATCATTTTAAAAAGCAAAAGAGATTCTGTACAAACCAGACATGTTTGTGACACATTTTTCTGGAATCATTCATAAATATATGTGAGTCAGAAACTTCTGGCCTGATTCCAGATAATTAGAGCAAAACCATGGGGAATGGGGGAGAGTTGTCTCAGGAGCTTACCAAACACAAGCATGTCAGGCTAAGTGAGTCCTGTAGTATATAGGATGTAGTACAACAGGAAATGATAAAATACTCTGGAGCTGACCTTAAGATAGCATGAATGTTGCCTTTATAACATCCAGGCTATTTATTCTCACTGAAAGTGGATGTGGAGAAAAAATAATTACAAAGTTCATTTGGAAGAGCAAAACATCAGGAGCTTCAAAGAAACCAGGAAAAAAAGATGTAAAGGAAGTAGATACAGCAGTATCAGACATTAAACTATGTTATGTAAGGGAGAGCATTGTTGAAGTATAAAAGGACAATTTCGATTAGTTTAAATTAAAATTTTCTTGGATAAATAAAATCTATGTAGCCAAGAATAAAAAGTAGGCAGAAAATTGGGGAAAAATTTTTATAGACAATCTCTCAGATAGGATGTGATTATGTTGAAATATTGGTATGGTGTAGGAAATGATGAGCTGGTTGATTTAGAAAAACATGGAAAGACTTGGACCCATGAAGGAAGATGTTTTCCTCCTTCAGAGAAACAGATAACAGGTGGAAATAAGCATGTTCAGTCCTACACATGTGTGAATGAGTGTAAATGTGTATGTTTATAGATCTATGTATATGTATATATGTCCACACCTAACTGTAGCCTTCTTTAGGCTGGTTGGGGGAGGGAGGGGAAAAATAAAGTAAAATGTGCATGGCAGAGAACAAAAGAAAACCAAGAAGGAAGCAAAGAAAAGCTGGGCAGCTTTGAAGACGATGTGTAGTATATACTACATAGGTTTTCTTGAAATGGAAATTAATTGTTTTATATTGAATCCTCCCTTATGGTCTGCTATGTGCATGGCAATGGTTTTTTTTTCCTTTTCTCATTTTGTATTCAAATTTAAAATAAAAAAAATACAAAAAAGTGGATGTGGAACAAGGAGAAAATTCAAACTATAGAAGGTAGAAATGAGTGAACACAAACCAATCCCCCAGCAAGACTCTGGAGGACAAATGGTGGAAGGTTTGGACAACATTGAAGGAATGTCCCCTACCCCCACCCCCTGCAAAGGTAGGGTAGGCCAGCAGGTTACTCCCTGTGTGGAATAGAATTCTGGGAAACATACTTCATCAAGATTTGCAGCTTCTCTCCCCTCACCATCTTCAGGTCCCGATCATTCTCGGCTTCATAATCCCACAAGGCAACCACATAGTGGTCTTCTGCAATAAAGAAGAAAAGATGGCAGCTCTCTGAGGTTTCTGGAGCTATGGCAGGAAGAGAGAATGATATGGGAAAAATCAGGAAAAGGGGCATATAGGCACAGTCATGGTGAGGATTAGGCTCCAGGCAAACTCGTTCAGAGATGTTGTGGTAAGAATACGGAGTCTGAAACTAGACTGGGGTGACTAGAGCTTTTCCCAGGGTGCTGAATTTAGAGGTTGATAAAATGATTTGCATTCTTTCAGCAGAAAAAATACAGTTAAGCACCTAGCTAGCCCACTCCCCACCCCCACCCCACCCCCAAAAGAATAAAAAATACAAACAGGAAGTTACTAAATGGCTTCCGTCCTTCCCCACCCCTGAGGACTTCAGCTGAGCTCCACTCTGTTGTGGCCTCCTCTTGCTCCCTCCTTTGTCCCCTGCTTCAGCATTGGCCTTGCTTTGTCCAAAGGCTCTCTGTCCATTGAACTTCTTAGTTTGCCTCAAAATTACACCTTGCTTCGTATCCTGTGCTATGTATTCTACCTGACCTATTGAGAAGTTTCTGCACCTGACTTATACCTGGTCTCTGATTTTGGCTGGCACAAATCTGGTTAACTCCATGCTTGTTGGCACTTGATTCATGTTTTTCCCTAGTATATTATCTCTTAGCCTGTTGTGTGCTGCCCTCTTCTGGAGAAACCCAACCTCTCTGGAATTCAAATTTCCCACTTGTAGGAGCTGGATTACCACTCTGACCTTTCCCTAAAAGGCCCAGAAAGTCCTGGATAATTGGTTTTCCTTGGCCTTAGAATAATGTCTCCTCTTAATATAAATCAGAAATCCCACAATGAGAATTTGTACTGAGTTCTCAGTGCCTTGGTTACAACAGGAACCTTAGGAAATGTGTAAGATTTGGGTTGAGTCAAGCAATGAGACTTAGGTTGATATCTTCCTCCATGCTGACTGACAAAAGAAAAAAAAAAGGATGGAGAAACAGAACAACATAGCAACCAAGCTACCAAAGCTAAGATTCTTACCTGGAACAGGACTTAGAACAGGGGTTGGTGTAGTAAGGTGATTGAAGACAACCTTTGACAGAAATTTAAAAAAACCCAATAGTTAATTCACTGTTCAGCAGCATGAGCAAGCATTTATTAGGTACTTACTATGTATGTTTCAGGCACTGTGCTAAGTACTGAGGATAAAAAAAAAAAGGCAAAAACAGTTCCATCCCTCGAGGACCTCACATTCTAATGGGTAAAACAACATGTACAAGGTATATGCAAGATATTTACAAAGTTGATGGACAGTGATCTGACAAGGAAAGGTGCTAGCTACTAGGAAAATCAGCAAAAGACTCCTACAGAGCTGGATTTTGAGCTGAGTCTTGCAGGAAGCCACAGATTCTAAGAGGTATGTAGTAGAGGTATGGAAGGGAGAGCATTCTAGGCTTGGGGGATAGCCAATACAAACGCATGGAATCTGGAGATAGAATTTGTTTCATTTTGTTTTTGTGAAGAACAGCAAATAGTTAAGTCCAATAACTATGAGTTAGATTTTCTCTATGCCTCAGCTACATCCTGGGAGTAAGCAACACATTTCATAGAGATAAATGACACAGACAATAGTACAGTAAAAAAGAAATGAACTCTGTAGTCAGAGGACCAGGATTCAAATCTTGCCTCCAAATCCTTATTTACTTCTGTGACCTTGGGCAAATCACTTAGCCTACCTGAGTCTCAGTTTTCTAAAGTGAGCAGGCTAGAACAGATGTCCCTTCCAGTCCTAGATCTATGGTACTACAAGAGTGGAAATGAACGACATGAAATAGCAAACAGTGAAAATAATAGTTGATATTTATATTGCATCTCCTGCCCAGATGTCACCCATTAATCCTCATGGTCATGTGGGGATAATCCTGGGATCTTCAAGGCTCTGCTATTCACCGACTCTAGCAGGTCCTACTAAGCTAAAAAGGTTTTAAGTAAAGAATGAGTCACATCTTTTATGTCTGTCATCTGAAGACCATCCTAGCTCAATGTGCAAAGATTCTCTACTACACCAGCAGACGACTTTTTTGGCCACAGAAATTCATGTGGACTGTCTATTAAGGCACAGAAGGTTTCTGTTCTGCATCAATGGAGAGAGAAACCATACCAAAGCAATTACAGATCTTTGGAAGCGTAGTATGGAAGTAATGGCAGGTATATAATGTATGTACACATATATAGAGACATACATATGTGTATGCATGCATATGTATATATACACATATATTTACATATTTGTGAATTGTTGAAGGCATAGTATGGAAGTAATGGCAGGTATAGATGCACCTATATGTATGTATGCATTATATATCTATATATCTATATATATATGATGGCAGCGATGTGTGTATGTATATGTGTACTTATATATACATTTATGCCATTTCTTCCATATTATGCTTCCAAAGATCCATAAATGTATATCTGTATATATACACACATATATCTATATTTTCTCTATATACACCTATATATCTGCCATTATTTCCATACTATGCTTCCAAAGATCCACAAATTTATATACATCCTATATACACATACATGTATATATTCACATATAAATATACCTTCTCCTAGGGATAACCCTAAAAAGAGGGAGAAAGATCCTTGGTCTTACAAAGAAATTCACAATGAGTATCACCATAGGGTTGGAGAGAGCTGCTCTTCCTCCATCCCTCAGCCTCTGACTTAAGCTTGGAAGTCAGAAAATAGCTAGCTCACTCACCAATGGAGGCAGAGGTGGAGGAGGCTTATTTGGGAAGGCGATCGGGGGCTCTTTCTCAAAATTCCACCAATTCTTTCCTTTCTCTTTAGCCAGTTTTTTGCTGCTCACTACTCCCATCCTGTTATGGTGAAAGGGCAGATAACAATAGTGTTAGTCCACTGGGGTCCATGCTCAGTATTTTTGTCCACTTGCACTAACCTCCCCCAAAGATTATCCATGTAAGATGTAGCACTGAGCTGGGAGGGATTCTCTAGGCCAAGACTTAAATTTTGGCTCCACTTTTTTCAAGAGCAGGAAGAGCTGAGGCCCAGAGAGGGAAGGTGACTTGTCTGATGTCACATAGAAAAGCTAGACAGAAGAATCAGGAATTCACTTGGAAATCACAGAGTCAAACTGTCTGGGATTGCAAAACACTTTCCAATGTAAAACCTTTGAAAAGGGATGCCATAATTGATGGGAAGAGTATTTAATACTGAACTGGGAATCAGGAGAACAGGGTTTTAGTCCTTAACCCTTCCACTGATTGGCTATGAGACATTGGACAAGTCACCATCTCTGGGCCTCAATTCCCTCTTCTGTAAATTGAGAAGATTGGAGCCTACATCTAGCAAGGATGTTACTCTTCTAAATCTCTTATCCTATGAATCACAAAGCTTAGCCTAAGCTCTTTTATTTTGTAATCACTTTTATTACTCATGCTTTTCAGTATGCTCAAAGTGCTTTTTTTTTTAAGGGGTAAGGGTGGTTGAAACACACTTCACCAGGATTATACATGTTCATTTAAGAATAGGATGATAGTGCATGTTGGAGAGAATAATATGGTCAGTAGAAAATCCCTTTGAACATACATTTACTCTTTGAGAGCCTTGGAATAAATTTATAGTATAATCTTACCTATTCCCAAACCATGACCTTGAAGTTAGATCAAAAGGACAAGCATTATTATTCTTACTTCACAGTTGGGGTAGTGGGGGCATAAAGAATCAGAAAGCACTAATTGAGCATACTGTGTAAAGAGGGATGTAATATCTGAAAGTTTACATTTCTTGAATTTGTAAATATTACTACTACTGCTATTACTACTACTACCACCATCACTACTTCTACTACTACACCACCACCACCACCACCACCATTATCTCTTAATATGACTATTATCTCTCATTTATATAGTGCTTTAAGGTTTTTAAAACACATTTCATTCTCACAACAACCTTAGGAGGTAGGTGCTATTATTATTCCCATTGTACAGATGATGAAACTGAGGTTAAGATGCATTAAGTGACTTGTCCAAGGCTATTCAGCTAGTATGTATCAGAGGCATAATTCAAACCTAGGTCTTTCCTAGCTCCAGGACCAGCATTCTTTTACACTTATGCTTGTCTGCCTTTAACAGGAGACTCACTACCTCACAAAAGCAGCCCATTCCATTTCACAGGCCAAGAGTTCTGAAGTGGGCATGTTCTTCAATAATAGGAAGGCTTGGATACAGAACTTCGGATAAGCAGCCAGATAGCAGAACCTGCACATAGTCATTTCTTCACTATCCATGTCCCCTTCCCCCTCTGTCTCCTGCCGTGAACTCCTGGCTCATGGTTCCTTAGCTCATAGGCTTAGATCCAGAAGGAACCCCAGATCTAGTCTAATTCTTCATTTCATGGATGAAGAAAGTAAGGTCTGGTGAAATGAAGTGACTTGCCTAAGGTCACACAGGTAATTAACTGGGACTTGACCTTCTGACTTTAAATTCTTTGTTCTTTCCATTGAAGCACACTCTGTAACTAGGGCTAAAGAACACTGTGACAAGCTGGGTAAATCTAGGCTTTTTAAAATTCCAAGTTCAGTGCCGTGCCACAAAGTAGTGATGTGACCTAGGACACAGTATATGGCATCATTGTATATTATCCACATCTGCAGAATGAGGATAATGCCATGTGGTACTACATATCTCACACAGCTGGTGTAGGAAGGTGCTTTGTAACCATAAAGTCTTATGGACAAGCAGACTGCTATTGGTGTTATGATTATACCATGCTTCCAGCTCGTAAAAGGAGGTGAGTGACACCCAGCTGCCCCTAAAGTAAATTATAACTGTCTCTGTTCAATTGTTTTCAGTCTTGTCTGTCTCTTCATACCATTTCCTTCTCTAGCTTTTTTTTTAACAGATGAGGAAATTGAGGCAAACAGGGTTAAGTGACTTTCCCAGGGTCACATAGCTAGTAAGTGTCTGAGGCCAGATTCAAACTCAGGAAGATGAGTCTTCCTGACTCCAGGCCTAGCACTCTCTCCACTACATCTAGTAGTGGGATTGTTTAATTTACAATGGGATTGTTTAATTGCATGGACAATGAATGAGAGACAATATCGTCATATTATATAGTACAGATAATGTATTTTATTGTTGTTGTCTGTGAGTGATACTGAAATTCTAAAAAGAAAGCAGCAATTGAAGGCTGGCGTAGTCAGGGAATATGCCCTCACTGCCTCACCCCACCCCTGCCCACAACCTTCATGAAGGCCTCAAAGATGATGATGAGGATTCTGATAGGCAGAGAGAGTGGGATCAAGTTTCTGGGAGGGAGGATAGCATAAAGATAACATGAGGGACGTGCCCAGGGCCGTGGTGAGCTACAGTACAATAGATACTAGAACCAGGATTGAATACTCATCATTCCCAGCCCTATGTCATTACATGCTGCCACCAAGGTGATCATTCAGATTTCCTGAACTTTACTGAAATTCAGAAGGGTCAGTAGAAGTCTGTTTCACTAAATGGTAACTACAAGGAATTCTCAGCAGAGGTAGCCAGGATTGGTGAAAGGGGTCACTTAATTAGGCAGGTCCTTGGAATGTGGGTCATTGTCTTCCTCATCTATGTTGCCATCAATACCACTGACTCATACAACAACAATCAGTCTAATAGCAAGTGGGATGACATGAACATTCACAGTTTCATATAGAATCCTTTTTGTGTGTATAGAAATGCTTTTTTGTATTTAAATTCAGAATAAAATATGAAAAATCAATCAGATCAAAAAGCATTTATTAAACACTTACTATGTGTTGGGCAGTGTCCTAGGTAATGAAGATACAGATACAAAGAACAAGATAGTTCTTAACTCTAAAGAAACTTAAATTCTAACATCATGGTCTTCATAAACATGCAGATAACTGGAAGCTCAGTGAAGGCATAGATTATGTTTTCTTTGTCCAAGCATAGTGTACTGCATATAAAAGGCAGTTTATAAATCTTTGTGGAATGAATGATGCCCCTTTACTTCACAGAGAATTTTTTTATACTGAATATGTTGTCCCGTGATGGAAAAAAAGCAGTTACTCAGCGGTCATACCAGTTCTCATTCTCCTGCTTCTTTATATTTTATCGGTTTCAGATTGGGTGGTACCAGGAAGCATAAAAACAGACAGAAAAAACAACAACACGGTTGCCTCCCAAATTTTTAAAATTTTCATAGTTTTAACCATGGCTGCATCCAGAAGCTAATAATAACGTCTCACAGTAATAATCACATTTTATACGTATCAAAATGCATTAACTCATTTGGTCCCATTCACTGTGGGTGTTCCCCAAGGCTCTGTCCTGGATCCTGTTCCTTATACTATTTCATTTCATATACTATTTCATCAGTTCCCATGTGTCTAATTATCTTTTCTTTCACTCTCAATCTCTCTTGATAGATATAAATATATTATAATACTTACATCATAATGTCTTATAATAACTAATATATAACATATTGAAAGACAGAACATTTTATATATATATATATATATATGTATATATATATATATATATATATATATATACACACACACATATAACATGTATGTAAAATCATCCCTCCAGTTACCCAAGCTTGAAACCTCAATGTCATCATTAACCCCTCATTCCCATTCAACCCCCACATCCAATCTGTTGTCAAATCTTGCTGTTTCTACCTTTATAAAGTCTTTAATTTATACCCCCTTCATTCCACTCACACAACCATTTAGTACAGGTCTAGTCTAGTACAGATTTTCATCACTTCCTATCTAGACTACTGCAGTAGCTTTCTGGTTAGCCTTCCTGCCTGCCCCAAGCCTCTCCACTCTACTCCATCTTCTATTCAGCAGCCAAGGTGATTTTCCTGAAGAGTATATCTGACCATGTCACCCTTTCCTTATTCAATAAACTCCAGTTTCTCCCTAATACTTGCAAGGTAAAATACACAGTCTTCCCTTCAGCATTTAAAGCTATTCACAAACTGGCCCCTTCCTACCTTTCTAGTCTTCTTACACTTCTCTCAAAGTCTTCTCTGTCCCTGCTCCCCACTTTCTTTGGAGATTACCTTCTGCCTACTCTGTATATATCGTGTACGTGCACAGTAACAGCAGTGGTTGTTTGTACATATAGTTTTTTGCATGTTGCCTTCCCCATTAAAAGTAAGCTCCTTTGAGGGCAGGGACAGTTGTTTTTGTCTTCATGTGTATCTCTAGCATTTAGTGCAGTGCCTGAAACATAGTAGTGCTTAATAAATGCTTGTTGACTGAGTAATCCTCACGAGGACCTTGTGGGGGCAGGGAGTACAATATAATGATCTCTATTGGACAGGTGACTGAACTGGGACTTGCCCAATATACCAGTCAGTAACCCATAACCTAAATCCAAGTCTTCTGGCTTTGAGTACTTAGTTGTTGTCTCTGCAGCATCCTCCTCTATCCCACCAGCACCCGACCCCCACGACACACACACAGCAGCTCTTCTACCCTTAACTTCCAGACGCATAATTAGCATCTGCTTAGCATGATGTAATGGAGAATATGAGAGACACAGCTGTTTGGAGCCCCCATCTAGCCTTCACTGGGAGTAGGAGGATCAGCATTTGTCTAGGGTATTAGATAAAGATCCAAAAAAATGGTATTTGGGATGGGGAGGGGGAAAGGGTGCAGTTACTAGGAAACATGTGAGTCACCAACCTGTATGCTCCTTGATGCTCTGCATCCCTTTTTAGCAACTGACATTTCTATAATACTTTGTGGTTTACAAATTGCTTTACATTATCTCACTTGATCAACACTTCAACCCTGCAGGGGAGATTATACCTTCATTATTTATCTGTA